GAAAAGAATAAGGAAAAATAAATTATTTTAAAAGTTTGGATTGGAACAAAGTAACAAATTAGAGAAAGCATACTATTAGCTCATGTAAGTTTCTTTTTAAGATGATATAGTTAATTATACCAAGGCATTCATCAAGATATACTCCAAGATACTTTATATATTTTTATGAAAAAGTTTTTTCCGTAATGTTAATTTAAATATTATCAATAGTTTTTTGAGGGGAATGAAAACAAATGTGTTCAGTTTTATTGACATTCAAGAAAATGTGATTACTATTTAACCAGTTACATAAGCAATGAAGATCTTGATTAACTTTTTAAAATAGTTCAGAAAGTGCTGGAGAGATATCATTTGCAAGAGCATTAAAAATAGGTATTGGAATGCTGTTAGGTCCCGAAGCCTTGCTGTAATTAAAATAATGAATAATAGATACTTCATTTTTGTTTTGGTTTTGGTTTGATGAATATTGATTTAAGACTGTGGTTTTTTAAATATTTATTGAAGTCAGTATTGGATGAGTGAATCTTTTTCTGTAATTCTTTTTGAATTAAAACATAGAATGAATTAAAAGATTCCGAAATTTTAATGGGGTTGTATATCATGGAGTTGTTAGAGATAAGCAGGAAGGATATGAGTTATATATAGGATATGAAGGATATGAACTCTTAAATTAGTGTTTAAATGACTTATACCATCCCATGTAGATTTTAAATTTTTGGCATGATCAGAGAAAAACTTAGAGTAATGGTTCTTTTTACTTTGACGGGTGAGATTAACAAATAAGTTTCTATATGTTTTATAAGATTTTTCTTGATTGAGTTTGTTATTAGAATTCTTTGTTTTAAGAAATTTGTTAAATATTTTATTTTGTATTTTGATTAAAGTCAAGATTTTTTTTGTTATCCAAGGTTTGAGACCCCTTAAGAAGCAGCGATTGCTGACTATTTTTAATGATGCATGTTTATCTAAAAGAAAATTGAAACTTGTGAAAAACTCATCAAATGATTTGTTAGTCCTTCGTTAACATTGATTACATTAGTCCAGCTAATTTTTGAGAAATCACTACATAACAACTTTTTTTAAATTCCGAAAGATGCAGCTTATATGAGAATTAAATTTGGTTCTATAAAATGGATGTATTAAAAATTGGGGTAAATGATCTGATACCATAGAAGTAAAATTACCTGCAAAAATATTTGTAGAAGTTGCATTAAAAAATATGTTATCAATTAGAGTTTTTGAGTGATTCGTGATTTTTGTTAGCAATGAAAAAAAGAGAAGTTATTTAAAGCAATGGTTTATAAAAATTCAGAAAAAAATTAGAAAAAACTGTCTGATAACAAGAATTATTATATTTAACAACACCTTATTAGAAAAAACTGTCAAATAAAATAAATTCATCTTATTTATCAAAGACTTGAATAAATCTATTATGCTGGTTTTCTCAATTACCTTTCTATATCTAGGATCATGAAAAAAATGAAACATGAAGAAAATCTCAATAAATAAATGAAAAAAAAATTTAAAATGAATAAGTTTGTTGTTTATCACACACTTATTTATTTCAAATTTTTAAATAACAATTTATTTCAAGTTTTTATAAAGCAACTTACATACTGTGGTTAGAAAGGAATGATTCAATAATTTTGAAGTTTTTCTGAGATGCATCTTATGAAGGTAGTTTATTGAGAAAACCAGCATCAAAAGCCTTTATCAAGATATATTATAAATATCATAAGAAAAATACCAAGATTTCAATCAACCATATCAAGAGAGCAACCAAAAAGCAACAGTCTTGCCTCACTTTATCATTATCTTGCCTCACTTTCTTTTACCTAATCTTTTTATCTTTTTATTACTATGGTTACAATGAGTCAGCAGTAAAACAAAAAAATTAAAACTATTCATTTATTTCTCAATTCCGATAACAAATATGTAGTTAATAAATAACTAATATTCAGGTTTAAATTTAATTTAGAATTTTTAGACTCAAGATGAAATTTTAGAAGGGTTTTACTTATAACAGTTTAATAACTAATAATAATAGTAACTAGGCAACAGTTAGAGGAGACAGAGCCATCACCAACAAACATCTCAAACAACACCTCTAACTTCCAACAAGGCTGCAAGCAACCACTAATAAGTTGGGAGTTACAAGAAAAAAAATATAGAGTTATATAGTAAGTAAAATAAAATAAAAAGTGTTGACAGAATGATTTAAAAGTTGAAACTGAAATGTTACTTGAAACTGAAAAAAAAATAAAGTTATATAGCAAGCAGGTTGACATCAGACTTGAAAAGTTGAAGGTTGTATGCGTCAGAAAACATGAAGATGGGAGAGAGTTAAAGTGCAGAAAAAAACAAGACAAATAAAAGTTTTTAGAACATGCAGGGGCTGATACAGTAAAAAGATAAGGCTTTGCTGAATTACGAGTCAAACAAGAACAAGTTTTAGTTAACGGAGCTTGAGATGATATCTCCTAGTATTTGTAAGAAAGAGATGCAACTTTATGATTATGGAAAAGAGGCTCAAGCTTAGCAGATAGAGCATTTTCAACTTCATTAACGCAGTTTATGAAGTTGAAAATGAGAAATTTGTGAACTTTGTCGAGTTTTGTTGGAAATTAAATGAAATTTAAAATTCACAAGCCACTACAAACAATTTGTTACAGAACTGAGATATGATTTAAGATCAATTGCCTGTTCTTAGCCATTGAAAAGAGAAGACTTTTTGTCAAGGCTTGAGTATAAAGTGAAATCATCACCAAATAGAGCCACCCTTAGATTTTAGGTTATGAGGTCGACAACGAAGATAGGATACAAAACAAAAGCAAGGATTGAATTTTTAGCTACCCTTAAAGTTACTGGAAATGAAGAAGAAAAAATGATTTGATAATTTCAAAATCTTTTCCAGATACACCACATGAAGCAAGCAGATTTTTATAACACCACACCAAATTTCATTGAAAGCTTTAGATATATCCAAATATCGATTGTCTGACAGTAAGTTATTTGACTCAAGATGGGATTAGAATGATCAATTACTCAAAGACATTGCTAACAACAGATAGAAGACTGATTGGACAATAGTTAGAGAGCTCATGATGTTTTCCAGAAATTTTAAAAAATTTATATGCCACCGAGTGATTGGTTAAAAATCTTGCTTTTAACCCTATTATTAAAGGTCACGTAGATTAATTTCTAGTTTTTAACAAAATTTGTAAAGAATTTTTAAAATATATATACAATCAGGGTTGCTACTGGTCATGGAAATCATGGAAATGTTACGGAATTTCATTTCAGGTTTTGGAACTTTTTAAAATAATCTTTTTCTTTTAATGATATTTTTACAATAATTGTAAAAAAGAATTCACATTTTGACAAAAAGTCTTCTTTTTTGGATTGGTTAGAACAGGCAGCCAGACTTTAATCTGTTCTTCCATCTGTAACAGCTTGAGGCTTGCAGTTTCCTTTTGATTTTAACTTCAAAAATTTCCTGGGGAGAAAACAAATTAAAAAATTGCATTCACAAAATTTGCTATAAATAACTTATTGGCAGGTGAAGTGTTATTGACAGGCAACAGTTTCCTATTACCACTTCAAATGCTGTACTTTAAAGGGAAAGTTAGTGAGGGCAATAAAAGAGTTTTTTGTCCTAATCTATAAGTGTTTTTTTTTTACAAAGTTAATAAGTCTGAATTATAGAACCATAAAACTGAGTTATAGAAAACTGAATTATAGAACTGTATTTTCATTAGGAAATAATAGAATGAGTTGTCATAAAAACAGAGAATTAAACAAAACCCATGATTTGAGTCAAGGAGATACAGCATTCAACATCCTGAACCGGAAACAATTTATAATAAATACATCTGCCTAAAAGATGAAGAAGGGGTGCAAGAAGAAGGCTTGTTAACAGATAGAATCTGTTTACCCCTTAAACTTAAACCACTTTACCGCTTGTTAGAACAAAAATTTTTTGTTATCATTATTTTATACATTACACAAAACACAATAAGCATAATTTAATATTTTGAAAATGCATTTTTACACCTTAAAAGCAGGATATAGGCACTAGACGTGGTATAGGGCACAGCCACAGACATGGTTTAGGGTACAGGCGCAAGGCTAGGTAAAAAAGACAAAAGCTTTGAAGTAAAAGTAATTTTTATTAATTCATTTAAACAAAAATCTCTATAAACTGATTTTTTTTTGTTTTTGAGAAGATTAAGAACTAGAAGTTAAAGTATTTAGAGATTCAAACTCACACAGTTATAACAAACAGAAGTTTGTTATAACTGTTTGAGTTTGTCATAAGTAATTAGGATTATGGCCAAACTCTTTTAATTTTTAAGGTTGAAACAAGAACAAAGGCAGTTTAGCATTTCGATTGTTTCAAAAGGAGCTTCTTGCAGATAAGACTATAACTATATATTATATGTGATAACTTTATTGATATATATATATACTTATATAGTTTTTAACTACTGTGTGAGTCATAAGTTTTAAGACATGAAAATCATCATCATAATGATGATTATCATATCTTAAATTTTTACTATTATATATATTATATATGATTTATTTTAAATAGTACTAAAATATAAGTTTACAACTATTTAAGCCAAACGTAGTATAAAATATTATTTAAGTTTGAAAAATACACTGTGTAAGGAAGGCAGGGTGGCCAGCAGTCCTTAAAAACCTGGAAAAGTCCTAGACAAACACACATTTTAGCAATAATTTCTGGAAATCCCACAACTTTTTTTTCTTAAATAGTTCAATATTTCGTTATCATGTTTTTATCTTTTACAGAGTTGTTATTAATTTTGCATAGATTTATACTGAATTTGATAATTTTTTATTTTCTATAATGCAAAAAATATATTAATGTTATCGTTAGTATTATTAACATCTACTATATAGTTATTTTTCATTTTTATATTTTTTCTTAAATCAAAATATTTATAAGATAATATTGTATAAGTTTTTATTATTAGATTATTTTACACCCTCACCTCCTCAATTACATGTTCATGGTAAAACAGAGATTTTTATTGAGTGGGATCCTCCTAAAAATCTTCTTGGCAGATTAAATTATTATGAACTTAGAATGGATAACATGGTTTGTTGTTTTTTTATGTTTTTCTACTTTAATTTGTTTTTAGTTTGAAATCTAACAAGAAATTCTCTGATTCTCAGTAACAGTAGTTGTGACATGAATTATAATTTTCTGATAGAAAAAGTAATTTTTTATTTAACACAGAAGGTGTGAACACAGAGGCTATTAAAGTTTTTTTGCTAATCATGTGAGAAATTTTATTGTTACTATAGTCTTTGCTTATGCATGTTTCTTTATGATTTTTGCCATCATTAACATTCTTTCTTATTGTTGTTGTTTTTTTATTTTGCTCGCAACAAAAAGCCATATTAAGATTTGAAGTTAACTGTGAAACCAAAAGTAGTAATGAGAGTTAAAGAAAAGAAAACTGTTGATAGAAAACTGTAAATTAAAAACTGTTGATAGAAAACTGTAAGTTAAAACCTATTGATAGAAGATGTAAATTAAAAACTGCTGATAGAAGACTGTTAATTAAAAACTATTGATAGAACGCTGTAACTTAAAAACTGTTGATAGAAGGGTGTAAATTAAAAATTGTTGATAGAAGGCTGTAAATTAAAAACTGTTGATAGAAGGCTGTAAATTAAAAACTATTGATAAAAGTGTGTAAATTAAAAACTGTTGATAGAAGACTGTTAATTAAAAACTGTTGATAGAAGGGTGTAAATTAAAAACTGTTGATAGAAGTCTGTAAATTATATGAGTCAGGAAAGCATGAAGAGATGTGTGATTTTCAAAGTTTGTGATAAAAACTATTTAAAAGTTTTTTAAAACAGAAAAAAATACAAAACAAGATTAAATTGAACAATTGAATCAGGGTGCAGAAGCAGAGAATTGAATCAGGTATAAGAAACTAGTAAAAAAGGATTCATTTTATTTATGGTTTCAATAAAAGGTCAGTAGTAAACAATAATCCAAAGAGACTTATTTTAGAGGTCTCAATAAGAGTGTTGCGCTAAAAGAATATAATTAATATTACAATAATTATTAACAGTAAAAAAACAAGTTTAAAGAGTCTTGTTTCCCAGCGTGCTGGAAAGTGGCATCTGTTATCCCCATTTCAATAAGGGTTTTGATCTTCTCATTCTATAGCTGATTTGCTAACGGTAATAACCAATAGGTTTTATTGTGCATTAGATGTGAAGAAGTTAAGACCATCATTCTTGACATTTTACAGCTGATTGCTAACAGTAATAACCCAATAATAAGGTTTTACAGCTGATTGCTAACAGTGATAACCCAATAATAAGGTTTTATTGTGCATTAGATAAAGCTTTTGATAAAGTTTGGCATGCTGGTCTTCTCAATAACCTTTTTTCTTACAATGTATCAGGTAACATCTTTAAGATTTTTGAATCTTTTCATTCCATTCGTAGTTTAGAAATAGTCCTCGATAGACAGCACTCTTATTCATATGCCCTTTCTTTTTTAGACAAGGTGCAAAAATAAATTGTAAACATAGTTGGAACTGCTCTTGCAGCTAACCTCCAACCGTTATCACATTGTCGTAATGTTGCTTCTCTTTCTCTTTTTTACAAATATTATAATGGGCACTGCTCTAAAGAGCTAGCAATTCTTGCGCCTTCTACTAAAATTCATTCTTGTGTTACATTTAGTTAAGTCTCATCCTTTTTCTGTGACTGTTTCTAAGTGCTATAAAATCTCTTATTCATCTAGTTTTTTTCCTCAAACATCAGTTTTTTGGAATTCGCTTTCTTCATCTTGCTTTCCTGATTTATACATTTTGCAATCTTTTAAGTTGTCTGTCAATCATTATCTTGCTCTACAAACTTCATAATTTCTCTTCCAGTAACTTCCAATTCTTATAGTGGTTGTTGGCAGCCTTGTTGGAAATAAAGATGTTAAAAAAATTTTTTTTTTTGAACTCTTAGTATACTTGAAGCCCTTTTTCTTATCCTTATTAAAAACATTCTTAAGCTTAGATTAGTTTGTTTTTTCTAAAGTCTAATATAATACCATATTGCTGTTATTGCACTCTTTACTGATTGAAGGAAATCCGAAAGCATAGGATGTTATTTTTTTCTGTATTTATGTTCTTAAAACTTTTTAGATTTACTATTTTTTGGAAAACCATTATGTGTTTTGTTTCATATGTCCTTTTTTATTGAATGTTGTTCTTTTTTTAGCAAATGTTTTTCTTCATATCATTCATTTTTGTTTATTATTTGTTTAAATATATACTTATTTATTTGATTTATGCTTTAGAATTAAATTTATATATAAATAAATAATATAGTTTCTAAACAATTACAGAACTACAACTATAAATTTACACAGTTAAACATTTATTTCCAGGTAATATATAGAGGAATTGACTGCTGTTTTACTGCGCAAGCTCTTCATCCAACTAAAGTTTATAGCTTTACAGTAACTATATTTAGTTATATTTGAAATTTGTTTTTAGTTTTAAAATGTTATTCTGAAGGGAAAATATAAAATTTCAGGTTTCAGCTTGGATGAGTGAGGGTAGATGCAAAAGTTTACCCAGAACACGTCGAATCAGCAAGCAATGTAAGTTGTTTTAATATATCCAAATATTAATAATAATATATAGCTAAAAAAGTAAAATTTTTTTCAGATTTGAATTCTCTGACTGTTCCATTATGTGCTTTCGTTTAGCACGCCTTTACTTGATTACCTTTTCTACCCACTTTTTGGTGTTCTTTATAGTCAAATTAAACAAGATTTTTGATTCTTTACTCATTTGTTGTTATTGATGACTTTTATATTTGCCAATGTTGTTGTTATTGATGACTTTTATATTTATCAAACTCATTGGCTTGGCTCTAGACTTTGCTGGTCTTAAATCTAAAAATAAATTTTATTTAAACCTCTTACCGAGAAGAAAGTACAAACAACTACAAACTGGAATGTATTTAAAAATTGTTTAAATACCTAAAAGTACCATCTACAGCAAGGATGGCCTTAATGACAAAGAGCAAAAAAATTAATCACAAAATAAATAATCTGTGTAAAAATTAAATGGTTACTACAGATGTAGTCTTTATTGTTTATTTTTTCAATATTTTTCAATTCAAGCAAAAACATCTTTTCAATTATAATAACATCTTTTCAAGTATAATAACATCTGTGCAACTACACCTGGAGGTTTTACAGATGTAGTTACATCTTTTCAATTATGTTAAGAAAAACCACATATGTACAGCTGCATCTGTAAATTCTGAAGACATAGTTACATTTTTTAAATTATATTAAAAATAGCTACATGATTTTATAGAATTTTTGAATTATAATGTGTTATATTAATCAGATGTAGTTACATATATGATTTTTTTTTTTCACATGTGGAAAATTTCACATTTGGAAAAAATTATTAAATAATAATGCATTATTTTAACCAGATTTAGTTTCATATAAGTTTTTTTTCAGATGTAATTATATCTGTAAGAAATTCTTCCAGTTGTTATTGGCCCTTGTGAAAAATTACCAGATGTATTTACTTCTATCTAAAAATGTTGTTGATTTTCCAGAAGATATTGGAAAGATGTTGTAAGAGTAAAAAAAAAACACAGATGATCTTGGACGAAATTGCACTGATGATCTTGGACTAGTCCACAGATGTTTTTGGACAGATGTAGTAATCTTTTACCCAAATTTCCAGAATGCTTTCAGGAGAAATAGATGCCAGAGAGCTTATGATCTGTCACCAATAGCTTACCAGTTTATTCTTTAATCTTGTGTGATTTTTAATTTTTATGATCAGGGTTGGGATCAAATATGTATTTTTTATTTGAAGTTGTATTTACATTTGGTAGTTATAAGGTAAATTGGCGTATTTGTATTCGTGTTGCATTTGATTTAAAAATTTCTTAAAATTTTTTATTTGCATTTGATTGAAATGTATTTGTCACAGTGTTTTTCCCCATAAAATCCCACTGTAAACAAGGTTAACTGGTGTTTATTTGGGAAAAACTAAAATATATGTTTGTTTTTTCTCTTCTTTTTTAACACTAAAGTAGGCTAAAATTTAGTTTGTGAAGGATAATTTTTAAACTTTTAAATTTAAATTGATGTTTATAAAAGAATTGTTTTCATTCTTCTATTTAGCATACAATTTTATGAATATTGTATTAAAACAAATCTATGGTTTTTTTTATACCTAACTTACAAATATTTGTATTTGTATTTGGAAAATGCCACCTACATATATTTGTACTTGAATTAGTATTTGGAAATCTGAAATTAAAGTATTTGTTTTTGTGTTTGACCCTGTCTATGATTATTAATTTGGTGTTTAATTGCTGAGATATTCATTCTGATATAATGAATGGTTGATTAAAAGTTTTATTATTTTAAATTTTGAAATCTGCGAAGTCATTGTCAAATAAGTGTAAAAGTCGATATGGCGGCTTTTTCATAACTCTATTCAACTTCTACCTCTAAAAAGTTATTTTTTGTTGTTGTTGTTATTGTTATGCGTGTTATGTCGTTGTGTGTCTTGTATTAATAAAAAATAATACATTGCAATGCTAACTTTATTTGTTTCTCTATCTAGTTCTAACCAGATTTAGATTTTCTATCTAACGGTTAAATTTCTTGATCTACTCTTAACTCGGTTTAAATTCTTGATTTACTATTAAGCCAGTTTTAATTTTTTATCTACTTTTTGTTCGGTTTAATTTTTTTATCTACTTCTAACCCAGTTTGTTCTACTGGAGATTCCTGGTATCATTTGTGAAAAGTTTACTGGAGATTCCTGGTATCATTTGTGAAACTTTGTGAAATCAAATTATTTGAATAAACATTTTGTGAAAAGTTCAATTAAAATATTAAAGATAATCTGATAACATTTTTTAATTTTGTTGATTTTTGAGTCGTGCACTTTTTTTGCAAACGAATTTTTGTGGCATAAACATTAGAAATAAAGTTTTATGATGGCTTCCATCGAACATTTTTATGTGATCATTTTTATTATTGTTATTAGTAAAGTTCGGAAATAAGATAATAAAAATTATAATTTTAACTTTTTTTTTTTTTATTGTAGCTACATCATCGTCTATTTTAAAAAGAAGAATCTCTATTAAAGAGTAATTTGAATCGCGATCCAACGAATTGTTAGTATGCGACTATATGCAACTTGTATAGTTAAAAAAATTTAAGTAAAAATAAAAAATGACAAAAGTGTAATTGTTAAATATATGTAAATAATATTTACAATTATTTATATAAAGTTTATGTTTTACAAAATTTTTTTTTCGTAAGATGGTATATTGCAACTTTAAAATGTTTTAAGGATGGTGATGAAATTCCAGCAAAAAAAAAAAGAGAGAAAAAAGGAGGTTCGTTCCCAAAAATTCATAAAACTTATTCCTTATAGACGCTATCCAGCTAAATTAGGAAGATCAGTTGAAAATAGTTGAAAAACAATTCCAAATTCATCAGAAATTTGATAAAAAACAAACTGGATGAAAGCTAATTAAAAAACAGTTATCTCAGGGCCGACAACATTGGTTTCTTCATATCAGAGCCAACAATATAGGTTTCATCTATGTATCTAGCGTTTTCTTTAATAAAAAAAGGAGGGGGAGGCTGTGTCGTCGGCTTATCTGCTGGTTATCGTCGGTTATCTGCTGGTCTGACAATCAGAAACAAGCAAAAGGGTATTAAGAGACAAAAAATGATAAATAAAACGGCACCTCCAACAACTTTTTCCAATGAACAGTTAATCCTGCTTAGGCGCCCTGTTAACAGACAAAAATGATTGAGTTTATAGAGTTAGTTTGAAAGAGGTCCCGCCTAATATATGGGCTTTTCCAAAGTGCATCAGGGGTTAATTTTTTATGGTACATTTTTCAAGGACAAAAAACTCGCACTAAATTTTTACTTATATCATACTTTATTGATAGAGAAATTAAAATTAACTAAGACTTCTGTTTTTATGACAAATGTAAAATCTCATTCTAATAGAATATTTAGCTTCCATTTACTTTCCAGCAGGATTTAGCCTCCAAAAATTCAAAAGTTCAAAAGGAAAATTTCTCGTGTTTCATTCCTGTGTCAGAATGGCTCGCCAACAGTCCAGATTTGACCCCTTATGTTTTCTTTGCATGAGGTTATTCGTGTTGGAAAAACTAAAAAATGTAAAATGCAATAAATTAAACGATTCTAAGGATTTACTAGGCAAAATGTGGGGTGAAATTCTTGACGGTATTGTCTATTGTCATCTATGACAATATAATACCGTCAAGAATTTCATCTCACATATGTGTATTAAAGAAAAATTTGAAATAAATTAATTTTTTATATTAAATATTAATGTAAGTTTCAGAAAAATTCTTAAATCAGAAAAGTGAAAATCCCCTTTCCTAACTAAGATCTCAAATCTGAAGAATTGTTATTTAGCAAACACAAAAACTATTAGATATTTGTAAATCCCCTCTCTGTAATATACTTTAATAAAAGTCTATTCTATTAGGTAGATTTAAAAGGTACTGTTATTTAGTCACTTAGATAGCTTAAGCATTTTGTTCCAAATGCATTTTTTTAATTTAAAATCGACAATCCATTATGTTATTGTTTGCACAGCATTCATAGGTATTTATAGTTATTCTGAAAATAATATTATAGAATAAAAACATTATACACTGTCAAGTGCTATTTTCTGTTGTTGTATTTATGTAATATTTTGGTCCGATAAAGTAGAGACTGTCATCAGACGTAAATATATTTATAAAAAAAACAATACAAAAAATCTGTGAATTTCTTTAAACTATAGCACAATTATAACCAAAAATTATTTTCTTTTTTTATTAGAAAAACTTCTCCTTTTATCAGATAAAATAAAAACCAGAAACGTTTGATTTATCATATACTGTGCTTTAACACACGATAAACGATTTTATTTGTAACTTAGTCATGAAATAAATCTGAAGAATTGTTTCACATAAAACTAATTTATACTCAAACTTTAGAGAGAAATCTCTTGCACAATTCCATGTTAAACAAACATTTTTTGTTTATTAAATGAAATTGCGCATAACAAGAGGAAAAAAACTTTACATTACGTAATAGTGATTAGAGATATCTTTTAATTAGGATTTTTAGGATGTCCTACTTCTTTTTATTCTATGATTTCTTATTTTTATGGTTTAACACTATAAAATTTTTGAAAATTTTTATAATACCATTATAATAAAAAAAATATTTTTAATACTATTAATGTTTGGATATAATATTAGTATTATAAAAATTGTAAGCAAATTTTAAAATTTCTTCAAGTCTGTAGTTTTTCAAATTAAATTAAAACGCATACTTCATTTAATGTCACCTAAATAACAACAACAAAAAAAAATGTACAAATTTAATTCAAATTTAATTTGTTTTGAAAAACTACATATTCAAGAGGAAATTTAAAAAAGACAAAAAAAGCAAATATTTAAAGGAGAAAAAAAAAAAAAGTTGTTTTTCTTTAATGTTAGTTTTTTTGTTTAGAATAAATTATATTAAATATCAGAAATGATAATTAATATCATTTCTGAAATAAAATAGAATGCTTAAGCATTCTATTTTATAAGCTTCTGTATATTACAATAAGCTTCCCGTAAAAAAATAAAAATAAAAATTTATACATACACACAAAAAATTGATTTTTATTGATATGAAATCAATGATTGTTTTGTCTCTTTATAAAAATAAAAAATTTATATTGATAATTATCAAATTTTTTTTTGCATTATCTTAAAATTCATCGGGAAATATAATTTATCTTATATATTTTTATATTAAAAAAGTTTTTATACTTTTATTTAAAAAATTTCTTATGGTTCATAAATGTCGTCCAGGAAAAGTATGAAACCCCTCTCTTTTTGAGGGGGTTGTCAACTTTACGAGGTCATAAAGGTGAGTTTCCACTCATCCGTTTTTTCACGAGAACGGGATAGGAAAGGGAAAAATAATCACGTGAGCATGCGTAGTTTTTCTTGAGGCATATTAAAACTTATACTACGCATGCCCACGTGATTATTTTTCCCGTTCCCGTGAAAAAACGGATGAGTGGAAACTCGCCTTAACTTTTGAACGTTAAAATAATTTTTTACTAAATGCAAATTTTTCAGATGAAAAAAATATTTTGACTTTTTTTTTGTGGAAATTTTAAACAATACGTTAATTAGGGTAAAAAATCGTTTCCATTACAAGTTAAATGTATAAACAACATTTCTCTGTTTTGTATACTTCCTTTTGGTATTATTGCGGTAATTTGGAAGAATTTTTAATGTTTGGCATGTAAAACGATATGAGCAATACTTATCAATTTTTAAAAATTTTTTATTAACTATTGCAGCAGATAAAAAAAGTTCATAGAATCTATTATTAAATTTTTTTTGCGGTATACTTTAATAATATTGCGGTATAATTTAATAAAAGATTCTATGAACTTTTTTTATCTGCTGCAATAGTTAATAAAATTTTTTTTAAAATTGGTTAGTATTGCTCATATCGTTTTACATGCCAAACATTAAAAATTCTCAAAAAGATAATAGAGCTTTAGTCTGCCTAATTTGTTTTTTAAAAGGATCAAGAATGATAAAAATTAAGGAAGGAAGGGTGACATTGAACAGAACACGTTTTTTTTTAAATCATTTGATTTAAACAATGAAAACTTTCCTAATGTACTAAAGTACATTAGCGCTAAAGTACATTTGTACTAAAGTAGAAAAGTTTTTCATTTTTTTTTTAAATTTTCATTTTTAAAAATAACAAGCATTTATATAAACATAAGGGTGTTTCAAAAAAAAAAGAAGCTCTCTTCTGGTTCCAATTCTAAGTGACCTAAAGAAGACCTAAAAAAATTTGACGGTTTTATTTTGACAGGA